GGCAGCATAGGGGTGGCTGCAGCGTCAGCTGCCATGGGGCACCCGTGTCAAGGCCAGACCTCCTGTGCTGTGCCCTCGCAAAGCTCCAGGAGCCTCAAGAGGAGGAACAATGTGGGGAAGAGCTGCTGGGCAGGATGGGTGTCACAGTCTTGGCTCCAGAGTCAGCTGTGTCCCCAAGCCGGGGCCAAGCGCTGTGTCCCACCCTCTGCTCCAGGCTCAGGCTGTGGTGCTCGGGGGTGGCCAGGGGCTGGCAGTGCCTGACAGCCCCCTGCTTTTGGCAGGTACCCGCATCATCTACGACCGCAAGTTCCTGCTGGAGTGCAAGAATTCACCCGTGGCCAGGACCCCTCCCTGCTACCTGCCCCAGATCCCCGGTGTCACATTCCTGGCCCAGTCCAGCCTCGTCAAGCTGGAGGAGCTCAAGGAGCAGAATGAGAGTGAAGAAGCCATGACAGGTGAGTAGTCCAGGCATGCCACCTCTGCCTGTGTGCTGCCCAGGGCATGGGGCTCCTACCTGTCTGCAAGGGCAAGGGGAGCTCCTGGCTCAGCTCCAGCTCCTGCCCCCTTTGCCTGCACGTTTTCCCCAAGGCAGCCCCATTCTAACTCTGGCTCTGTCTCCCTCCGTACTCCTGCAGATCAAGACCAGTTTGAGATGGACATCTGAGTTTCCAGCTCTTTGTCTCCCGGCCATGGCCGGGCCTATTCCTGGACCTCGTGGAGGTGCTGGCACTGAGACCAGCTGGCTGCAGCCCTCTCTGATGCTGGGGATGGACATGTGACACCTCCAGGCTCCAGCACAACTGGCTGGTGCAGTTGCCTAGGAGCTCATGCTTGATCAATAAACACCATGAAACCCCTGTGCTGACCTGGTACATCTCTACTGGGGCTCAGCTGGGTCCACAGAGCTCTGGGCAGGGGAGCTCAGACCCTGCAGCATGGGAGTGGTGAATGCCAGGCCTCAGGGTCTGCACCCAGGCTTGGGGGGCCACATGCAGCCTGCCCCAGGGTGGTGGGGGGAGCTGATGAGGCCTTCCTGTGAGCATGGGAGGGAGCAGCACGGTGCAGTATGCTTGCTGTCCTGGGTAGACATTTTCCACCCTGGGCTTACCTGACCTGCTGGGCAGCACTAGCACTGTGAGGTTTTACAGAATCCCAGAATTGCCCAGAAGATCAAGCCCAATCATTAACCCAATACTGACAAGTCCCCAACTAACCCCTGTCCCTCAGCACTATGTCTACACGACTCTTCAATCCCTCCAGGGATGGGGACTCCACCACTGCCCTGGGCAACCCCTGCCAATGCCTGAGAACCCTTTCAGCAAAGAAATTCTTCCTCACATCCAATCTCAACTGCCCTTGGCACAACGGGAGGCCATTTCTTCTTGTCCTGTCACTTGTTCCTTGGTTGAACAGACCCACCCCCACCTCTCTACACCCTCCTTTCAGGGAGCTGGAGAGAGCCAGAAGGTCTCCCCTCAGCCTCCTTTTCTCCAGGATCAACAACCCCAGTTCCCTCAGCCATGAACTCATCACACTTGTGCTCCAGACCCTTCCCCAGCTCCGTTGCCCTTCTCTGGACACGCTCCAGCACCTCCATGTCCTTCTTGGAGTGAGGGGCCCAAAATCCAGGGTCTCTCCCTGGATCTCTCTGGCCCTCAGGCCACCTTGGTATCTTGGGTCCTAAACCTGCGTCTGAGCTGTGCCAGGACAGGCAGGAGCCTGGACAGGAGCGCAGGCTGTAGGCCTCCCCAGCCAGCCCAGAACTCCTGTGGAAGAGCTGGGCCATGTGCCTCCTCCTGTGGGTCCACCCCACTGCCAAAGGAAGGGCCAGGCTTTGCTGACCAGCGCAGCAGCCCTGCCCACTCGACGGGGGGGGGGGGGGGGCGCTACCAGGGGGATTCCTTCCCTTTATGTCTTGGGGCCAGGAACACCCTGACAGGGCAAGAGCCCCTTGCCCAAGCCTGACGCTGTTTGCTCACCCAACAGTCCCATCTCCCACTGCACCTGGGAGAGAACCAGGACCCCTCTGGTACCAGAACCCCAGCACAGGCTGCAGCGAAGGGCAGGTTAGAGCTGTTTATTAAACATCATGTTGTGAAGTGCCACTAAAATGTCACAATTTTTAAAATCCTGTTTTCCTGGGTGAGGATTGGGAGGCAGAGGAGGTGCCCAGACCCCCTCAGGCAGCGAGGGCCATTCCCCTGCCAGTGGCCAACCAGGACCCCTCTGGTACCAGAACCCCAGCACAGGCTGCAGCGAAGGGCAGGTTAGAGCTGTTTATTAAACATCATGTTGTGAAGTGCCACTAAAATGTCACAATTTTTAAAATCCTGTTTTCCTGGGTGAGGATTGGGAGGCAGAGGAGGTGCCCAGACCCCCTCAGGCAGCGAGGGCCATTCCCCTGCCAGTGGCCCTG